ACAGGGTGGTGGGGGGGGTTGCTCTGTTCGCTTGCGCCTGGTCTCACGATTTGTGGGCATTCGGGGCATTTCTCGCGGCTTGCGGTGGGATTGGGTGGCTGCTGCTCCTCCTTCAGGGGGTTTGGGGCTGACGGGGCAGGCTTCCTCTCCTGCGCTCAGTCGGGTCATCTTGGAGTGGGTGCGCTTGGGCATAGTCGAAACGACGTCGTCCCTCAGGTGGGTTTCCCGCCTGTTTCCAGTTCCGAAACAGGACTGCGGGCTTGCGGTTCATTTTGGACTAGTCCCGTCTGAACCCTTGGGATTTTTGTCCCTCGTTTCGGATGCCCACTCTGTCTCAGGTCCCGCTTTTGTTGGAGCCGGGTGCTTGGATGGTATCCCTGGACCTCAAGGATGCATATTGGCACGTCCATATTCGTCTGGGGTTCCGGGACTGGCTCGGTTTTGTTGTGGGGCGTCAGTGCTACTGCTTTCGTTGTCTCCCTTTCGGGTTGAATCTGGCACCTTGCATGTTCACACCCCTTACCTGGGTCGTGGTGGCCCGTCTGTGTCTGTTACGGGTGCGGGTGTTGGCTTACCTCAACGACTGGCTGGTTTGGGCTCCCAGTTGGTCCACGTGTCTGCTCGTCAGGGATTTGGTGCTTTCCCAGCTCGCCGGGTTCAAGTTCCTGGTGAACTGACGGAAGTCCCGTCTGGTTCCCTCCCAGGTTCGGACCTGGCTGGGTCTTGTGTGGGACTCGCGGACCACTTCCTTGTCTCTTCCTCCAGCGTCTCTACTTCAGCTGCGGTCTCACCTGTACCTGTTTCTGGGAGGCTCCCGGGTCACCCGGCGGTTGCTCAAGGGTCTATGCAGGAGCCTGAACTTCGCGATGTTGGTCTACCCGCTGGGTCGGGTTTGGCTTCGTCGGCTGTTCTGGTTCCTTCGGGGACGTTCCTTCCGCCTCTCTCGCAATCGCTGGGTTCGCCCCCTGGGGGCTTTGTGTCAGTTGCTGCGTCGCCGGCTTCCTCTTCGGGTTTTTCGGGGTTCGGTGCCTTTGTGCCTTCCCGAGCCCTTGCTCGATGTGTTCACGGATGCATCGTCTCTCGGCTGGGGCTTTGTGGCCAGTGCTCACCAGGCCGGCCAGGGGCGGTGGGGTTCGTCCTTCCGTCAGGTCCACAGCACGGTGTGGAAGTTCGCGGCGGTGTGGTTTGCGTTTCAGAGGGTTCGGGTTGCCCGCGCATCGACGATCTGGCTCCATTTGGACTGCTCCCCAGTGGTTCACTGCTTGAACCGAGTGGGTTCGATGAGGTCCTTGGCTCTTTGGGGTTGGTCGCTTTGGGTGACTCGTCTGCTGAGTTCTCGGGGTTTGGCTCTCCTGGCGGTTCATGTCCGGGGGTGTCCAATGTCCTGATTGACAGCCTGTCCAGATTCGTTCCCCTGTCCACGGAAGAGGCGGTCGATGCCGACTTCAGTTGGCTCTGCCGGATGTTCGGACGCCCGGAGGTGGACCTCTTCATGTCAGCGTGGTCAAGGCATCTTCCGGTTTACGTGCCGCCCTTCCCTGACTGCGAGGCTGTCGGGATCGACGCCTTTCGGCAGGACTGGTCGAGGTGGGGGTTCCTGTATCTCTTTCCCCCGGTTCAGTTGTTACTCCAGGTCCTGGCTCGCTTGGAGACTTACCAGGGGCGAGTAGTCCTCTTGGCCCCATGGTGGCCGGCCCAGCCTTGGTTTCAGGCCTGCTTGCCCGGTGTCCGAACCCGGAGGTTTTTCCGCGGCTCCGCCTCTTTCAGGAGATCGGCCTGGTCCGGCACGAGACTGGTTCGCTCTTCTCCATGAGTCTTCATGTTTGGTGTTTTTGACTCGTGTTTATCACCATCTCTATGGTGATCAGGTGGCTTCCTCATTGGTTTCCCACCTGCGGGCTTCCTCTCGTCGGCAGTACGAAGTTTCCTGGCGGTCCTTCCGGTTCTTTTTTGTCCCTTCGTTGTTGCTCTTCGCTTTCAGTTCGGGTGGTGTTGTCCTTTCTTGGTTATTCCAGGACTGCCATCTTATGCCTAATACTGTCACCTCGTATCTGGCGGTGCTGGCGGAGCCGCTGCAGCTTGCTTTTGGTATCGATGTTACTTCTGTGCTGTTTCGCAAGCTGTCTCGTGCGGTGTTTCACCTCCAGCCTGCTCATGCGCAGTCTAAGCCGTCCTGGTCTTTGGACAGAGTGTTCTCCTATCTTCTTCTCAGTTTGTTGTGGTCTCTTTGGTTCAGGATTACTTTGCTAAGGTTCTTTTTCTGTTGGCATTGGCCTCTGGGGGTTGTGTTGCGGAGCTTCATGCTCTGCTCAGGCGCAGAGGTTTTTGCTCCTTTGGTTGTGGTCATAGGTATATTCGTCTGCAGCCGTCTCCCTCTTTTCTGGTGAAGAATGAGAGAGACTGCTGCTTTCCAGAGAGGTCCTTGGGTTGTTGATGCTTGGTTTGTCAGGCCGGGGGTTCACCATTTGTTGTCCGGTTACGGCCCTCCGCCGTTATCTGCGCGCCACGGCTTCTGTGTCTAGGGATGCGCTTTGGGTTGATCCGGTTTCCCTTCTTCCCTGTTCGCGGGTTTGGGTCTCTCAGGTCATCCGCAAGGTTATTAAATCCAGCCAGCCTGGATCTGGATATCCCGGTGCCCATGACGTTCGTAAGTTTGCTGCTCTTGCTGCCGTCTTTGGCAGTATGTCTTGGGCTGACATTCGGGCACGGGGTTTTTGGCATTCGAACAGGGTCCTGGCTGCATGCTACCTTGTGAACGTTCCTGGGCCCAGTCGGGCCTGTGTTGCTTTGGGTTGGCGGTTGCAGCCCGTTGTCTCGACTTCAAGTTGAGCAGTGGAGCTCCGACCGCCTCCCGGGTAAGTCCCTTTTTTCTTTTGTAGTCTTTGGTGAAGTAGCTCTGGGGAGCCATAAGGGCTTCCCCCAGAAAACCAGCGTTGAATGTAATGAAACACCATTTTCTGGGTGAGTCTCAGAGGCTCCCTGGCAACCCTCCCTCCCTCCGGTCGGCGGTTTTTCGCAGTTTTTGGTATCCAGCCTCAGAACTTGGGCGGGGATCGCCAGGTCGAGGGTCCCCCTTCCCCCTTCCGGGGAGGGGGGGAGCTGTGCAGACATGCAGCGTGGCTCGTGTGACGTCATGCTTGTTTGCTCATTTTTCTTTTGGGGAGTTCTGTCCACTCGTTTGATGATTTTCGTTGTTAACCAGAATAGGGGTGTGTTTTGTGGCGCTTACCTTTCTGGGTGCCTGTCCCAGTCGATGGTAGGACCATTGCTTCCCATGCCTCTTTGAGGGGGCCAGGCTCTGGCTCGTGGTCCCTAGTAGGCTAGAACTCCACCTACATCGACTGATGTAAAATAGTTAAAGTATCCATATCAGCCATGGATAGCTCCGGAGAGCCTCTGGGACTCACCCAGAAAATGGCGTTTCATTACATTCAACACTGGTTTTTTAATTATCACCATTTGTATGGTGATAATATTTTTTATTTGATTTGTTGGTGTTCCACTTGCGTCTTTCACCACAGCTACAGTATGACATGTGCTCTTTTCACCTCTCTCTCTCTTCATTTTCTTCTGTGTCAGATCCAGTGATTCTTTTCTGTTTTGCCCTGGTTGTTGATTGGAACCTCATGCTTAATAACCTTTTGTGTGGCTATGGCGGAACCGCCTTCATTGGCGTTACGTATCAATACTTCCTTGGGGGCATTTTGCATGCTGTCTCACCTCCGGCCAGCTCGTGCTTGCCCTGAGCCTTCTTGTGTCTAGATTGAGTGTTGGAGTATCATTCTTCCACCTAGTTCACAGATGCCCCTTAGATTCAGGATGTTTTTCTTAAGGTATTGTTTTCATTCGCTCTCACCTTTGGTTGTCGGCTTGGGGAATTTTATGCTCTCCTTAAAAGTCATGGGTTCTGTTCTTTTGGCCCTGGTTGATGGTTTCTTTGCTTGTATCTTTTCTGGTGATGAATGACTGTTGGCTTTTGGAGGGGTCTCTTGGTAATTGATGCTTGGTTTGTCTGGCTGAGTGTGCATCATATGTTGTATTTGGTAGTGGTTGTTCGGCACTACCTGTGTGCCACCAGTTTTGGTTTGGTAGATGTGCTGTTTGTTGATCTGGTGTCGTTAGTTATCTGTTCTAGGGCACATTTGCCCCAGGTTGTCTCCCGTGTCATTAAAGCTAGCAAGCATGCATTCTACCCTCAGGCCCACGACGTTCGTAAGTTTGTCTTTGGCCGCTGTTTTTGCTAATATGCCATTCTAGCTTGGTGGTTTTGGAAATCTAATGGGGGGTTTGGGTGACTAGGTATTTGATCAGTGTTCCAGGTCCCATTAGGGCTTGTGTTGCACTGGGCCAGGTTTCCCAATTTGGTGTTTCTTCTTTGATTTGTAGCTGCTGTATTTACTTGGTAAATCCCTTTTTTCATTCTTTTCTGTTGTTAGTTTGAGGGATTCACCAAGGAGCCCCCATAGAAAACCAGCATTGAATGTAATGAACTATCCCCCCCCCCATTGTCCCTAACAGTTGTGTCGGTTTGTAGCCCACTAGCAGTGTACTGAATGTGGGATACAGAATGCTGGCTTGGCTGCCTTTTGGCAGCTTGGCACATGCATACTGGGGTAGTTGTTTCATACCAAATTTTGTATGGACCATTTAGTGGTATCTGTTGGCTGCTCCTGTGTTTTGTTGTCATGAAACAGTTTTTTATTTCATCTGCTTTTTATTTCGTCTGGTATTTTGGGTGCTTTCAAGGTGAGGGTGATCATAACAATTCCCTGCTCACTGTGCCTCTTCACTGCAGCCCAGGTTCTGGCTCTGGTCCTTGGTAGGCCAATGAGACCTCTGTAACTGATGTGGCTACGTATTAGGAAGCTTTGTTGGCATCATAGCTTCAGGGAGCCACTGATGCTTACCAGAAAGGGGTATTTCATTATATTTAAAAAAAAAATTTTTTTACTAATAGTGACAAATAAGATATGAAAAAATCCACTTTTTTTTCTCTTCAGCCAATCTCCCACCAACACTAACGAAGTCACAAGTGAACAGTGTCAGAAAGCATTTGAAGATCCAGATGCTGAACTTACTGAAGCACCCAGCCTCCTATGACTATCATGAAAATATTACCACAGTTCTTAATGATCTGGGAATTACAGCTTCTGAGGTAAATTCTTTTAATATAGAAACGATTGATGTGCACAGTACATTTCAAGGTCTCTCTCTTTTATGTACACTTTTATTGCAAGGGAGTGTTCTGTCTTGAGTCATTCTGATTCGAATGTGCTATGACAAAACTTGTCTCTCTTGATCATGAGTCACTGGCATAGAATTGATGGCAGCCAAATATATAATAAATGTACAATAGCATTGATGAAGGTATGGGTATGGATAGGTTTATAATGTACAGTTCATTATAGTGTAGTAGATCACAAGAAGATAAACCAAATGGAGTTACTGCTAACAACACATAAATCTGGGGCTCCATTCCAGAGGTTATCTGACTCCACCAGAAAAGTCAGTAAGAAGAGGTGCCATCCTTAATGAAACAGTAATGAGCACAGAGAGTTAAATAATTTTATATTGTAATAAGAGATAGCACTTTACATGCACATACCAGTCCCAAGTGCATAGTGGGTCCTTGTGAGATACTCTGCTTGTAATACTATGCTTAAGTATGTATGAGTAATAATGGTGTGACATAAATAGGAAAAATAAGAACTAGAGAAAGGAAAATGGACAATCTGAAAATGCAGATACACTTAGAAAGAATAGTGCAGAAGTTGATATAGTAAATCATAAGATATAGGCGAGTATAGTGTGATGGTTTGGGAATGTTGGATGACTGGATTACAGTAGAATAGTAAGGAGTTTGTATTCAAGTGAACTTGAGGTTAAGAGAAGAGAAAAACCAGAGAGAAGTTGGATAGGCATGTTATGTAAGGAAGTAAGGATTAAGTATGAACAAGGATGGGTGGCACTTGGTTTGTAAGGAGGGAAGAGAAGAGAACTATCAAGAGAAAGCACCAAGATAGACTTTATAGCACCAGAAAGGGATCAGGATAAAGATTTGGGATGGGACGGGGGAAGAATTGTGCCCTACCACTTGGACGGTCGGGGATTGACCGCTGACCTGCATGAAGCGAGACCGTCCCTCTACCGTTCACTCCAAGTGGTTGGGCACTTGGGCTGGGAGTGAAAAATTTAGGGAGTGAATGTGCTGTGTTTGTATTGTATTTGACCATTGATGAGTTTCATACACCTAGTCTTATGAAGCAGTAATGTGTTAGGGCAGATGATTGTTGGAATGTGGATCTATTTGTTTACCTGTGATGCTGTATAGTGAGGAAGGTGTAATTAATGAATGAGTATTATTTCATTAGTGCCTATAGTAAAAGCTATTTAAATTTGATTCCTCCCATATTTCTCTGGCTAATACCTTCCTGTCCCATTAAAGTAGGAAACAGAGTAATGTTAATGTGTGTTAATTGGCACCACCAAAGTAAGTAAATTAAAATATATATATATATATATATATATATGTCGTACCTAGTAGCCAGAACACACTTCTCAGCCTACTATGCAAGGCCCGATTTGCCTAATAAGCCAAGTTTTCCTGAATTAATATTTTTCTCAAATTTTTTTCTTATGAAATGATAGAGCTACCCATTTCATTATGTATGAGGTCAATTTTTTTTTATTGGAGTTAAAATTAACGTAGATATATGACCGAACCTAACCAACCCTACCTAACCTAACCTATCTTTATAGGTTAGGTTAGGTTAGGTAGCCGAGAAAGTTAGGTTAGGTTAGGTTAGGTAGGTTAGGTCGTCGAAAAAACATTAATTCATGAAAACTTGGCTTATTAGGCAAATCGGGCCTTGCATAGTAGGCTGAGAAGTGCGTTCTGGCTACTAGGTACGACATATATATATATATATATATATATATATATATATATATATATATATATATATAATATATATATATATATATATATATATATATATATATATATATATATATATATATATATATATATATATATATGTCGTACCTAGTAGCCAGAACGCACTTCTATGCCTACTATGCAAGGCCCGATTTGCCTAATAAGCCAACTTTTCATGAATTAATTGTTCTTCGACTACCTAACCTACCTAACCTAACCTAACCTAACTTTTTCGGCTACCTAACCTAACCTAACCTATAAAGATAGGTTAGGTTAGGTTAGGTAGGGTTGGTTAGGTTCGGTCATATATCTACGTTACTTTTATATGCAATAAAAAAAAATTGACCTCATACATAATGAAATGTGTAGCTTTTTCACTTCATAAGAAAAAAAAATAGAAAAAATATATTAATTCAGGAAACTTGGCTTATTAGGCAAACCGGGCCTTGCATAGTAGGCATAGAAGTGCGTTCTGGCTACTAGGTACGACATATATATATATATATATATATATATATATATAATATATATATATATATATATATAATATATATATATATATATATATATATATATATATATATATATATTATATATATATAAATATATATATATATAAATAAATAAATAATAATATGAGGGAAGGGAGTACCACCTCTGCTGGACAACCCGTTCTCGCAAATTCGTAAAGTCAATATTGACTTATTAACTACGTGCATAGGTGATATACTAAACATAATAGATACCCTTAAAAAGATTCATAGAAACACCGACCTTACCTAACCTTGTTAGTATCTTAAGATAAGCATCTTATAGCTTCGTAATTACAATTATTACTTAACCTATACCTATTATAGGTTAGGTAATAATTGTAATTACGAAGCTATAAGATGCTTATCTTAAAATACTAACAAGGTTAGGTAAGGTCGGTGTTTTCTATGAATCTTTTTAAGGGTATCTATTATGTTAAGTATGTCACCTATGCACATATTTAATAAGTCAATATTGACTTATTAAATTTGCGAGAACGGTTGGGCTGGAAGAAGGGGGACCCATAGCCTCGGAGGAAACCACACATAACGCATTGGAGGGAATGTGTATTCCCTCCAATACAGTTTCTGTGTGCTTTTCTCCTACCACCCCCTTCCCTTTTTTTTTTTTTCCTTTATTGTGTATTTAAAGGTTACAAAACATACAAGACAAATGCCTAAAGGTTATGGATCTCTTGAAGCTCCTCCGCTTCTGGACAGGAACCGAGGACGCAGCAAGCATTTCCCCTCTGGATCGCCACACTGAGACGCTGAAATAAAAAAACTGGAAGCCCTTGGGTCTCTGGTGACGTCAATGAGCTTGGACCCCAATTCCTTGAGAAATCCCAAGGCACTCTTGCCCCAGGGGCCATGCGTCTCAGACGCTATGGGAACAAAGAGGTATTGACCTTCCAGTCGCCTGTACTTGAGTGATTTTGCTGTTTCCCTGTGGTTGGCCGCCCCACCTGCTTGATCAGCTCCGAAGTGTACATAGGTGTCAGCCAGGGTGGATACACATGTGTAGTCCCACACCAACTGTCTACCCTCCTTCCATGAGTATATGGTGATGCCATCAGGGCGAAGTGCTGGGAAATCCGTGTTTTGGACCCCTAGGATGCGAGGTTCTCTCTCCGCTGGGCACCCAGCTGAGACGAGGCTTCTCTTGATGATGTCATTGACCTCGTTGTGTCTTGCATGCCAGCCCTTTGTGCTTCCGCAATGCAACCCATGCAGTCCGTATTGGTCTGCTTCCACCCTGTTGCAAATACACTTGTATTCAGTGTGAATTGGGGCACCAAGGCGGAGGGCCACTGCTACACGAAGGGATTCTGGATCTAGGTGCGTGCCCATTGCAGACATGGGTACTGCCAGGAGGAAGTCTCCTGCATGGGGGGCACGAACTGCTCTGAGGCGGGCTTTCTCCTTGTCTGATGTTGCGACGCTGAGCATGGCATCAGCTACTTTTTCCACTAGAGGGTGGTCCCAGCCGGACTGTTTGTGTTGTTTTGTTGGCTCTATAATGGTTGCTGGGGCTGCAAGAACATTCCACTGATTTGAACATTCAGTGAAAGCAGGATCATGTATTCCTGCTGAATATCTCAGGGTTGCAGGTAAAATATCTGACGAGGTCGTGCGATGCATGGGAGGAAAGGAAGGCTGGTAGAGCAATTTAGGAGGCTGTGCGGACACCAAGGCCGCCGAGTCTTACAGGAAGGGTTGCTTGCTCCCACTGAGAGTCGTCCAATGGCAGGTTCAGGACTTTCACCAGCATGGACCTCAGAAGGGTGTCATACACATTTAACTTAGGGCTGCTGTAGGATGGAGAACATCTCAGAAAGTAGGTCAACTTAGGGAGAGACAGGCATCTTGTGAGGAGAAAGAGAGCATCATGGGCATCAATCTTGTCAATCCTGTCCAGCATTCTCTTTAGGTCAGTGATTTTTGCAGCCAGGACCTCCTCGATTGCTCGTGGGCCAATGGGGGCACCCAGGAGAGTGCAGTCCGGTGGCTCGACAACGAGAATGTCTGGAAGAGCATTTTGTATTTGCCCAGTGATGTCTGGGTTGCGGGAGATTATTTCACATTTGGATGCATTGAGAATGAGGCCTAAGGCTGCTCCCTGCTCCTGGATTTTCCTTATATCCCCCAAAATGGTTTCCGGAGTTCCAGCTAGAGTGCCATCATCCAGGTACCAGATGTTTAGCTCGCTTGTCAGACTATCAGTGACCTCTTTGATAGCTAGGCAGAAAAGGAGGGGGGCTAAGGGGTCACCTTGTTGGACACCTTTACAGGAGTTTATTTCATGCTCCCCAAAAAGAAGCTTAGAGTCCCCACTGTAGCACGATCCGATGAATGGGTAAAGGAGACGGAAATGGTTGTGTACAGCCCTGAGGACAGCATCTCGTCTGTCTTGATTGAAGGCATTTTTGAAGTCAAGCTTTACTAGTGCCTTCTGGTCCGGGAGATCAACAATGTAAGCCCGCGCTGCATGTGCTGCAGCTTCACAACCTAGGGGAATCCCAAACCCGAGCTGATGAGGTTTCAGCAAGGTGGCTGCTTCCTGGCTGATAGATCTCACTGCAGCCTTAGCTACAAGGCGTCGGAGGGTGTTGCCAACGGCAATGGGCCTGATACCCCTATCCTTCTTCTTTAGAGCACAGAGTGCTGCTCCATAAAAGACAGGCCTGATGTCCTCAGGGATGCCGCCAGCCAAACACATGTTGGAGAATCTGGTAAGTTCCACTGGAAGGTCCTTTGCAGCATCTCCAAGTACCGGGTTCAGCATTTGTTTGATGTGCTGGGGTCTTAGGCCTGTAAAGCCCCTTGCTGAACCTGTTGGGAAAGACATGGCTGCTTTGTACACCTCAGATTCTCGAACAGTCAAGGGTTCTATGCCAGCATTGTTTTCCTGGGGATCCCTGCTGCTGTCGGGGGCTCTGGGTGGGTGTTTGTCTTGAAGAGCCTCTGCTGTCGTGGCGTTCATATATATATATATATATATATATATATATATATATATATATATATATATATATATATATATATATATATATATATATATATATATATATATATGTCGTACCTAGTAGCCAGAACTCACTTCTCAGCCTACTATTCAAGGCCCGATTTGCCTAATAAGCCAAGTTTACCTGAATTAATATATTTACTATAATTTTTGTCTTATGAAATGATAAAGCAACCTTTTTCTCTATGTATGAGGTCAATTTTTTTTATTGGAGTTAAAATTAACGTAGATATATGACCGAACCTAACCAACCCTACCTAACCTAACCTAACCTATATTTATAGGTAAGGTTAGGTTAGGTAGCCAAAAAAAGCTAGGTTAGGTTAGGTTAGGTAGGTTAGGTAGACGAAAAAACATTAATTCATGAAAACTGGCTTATTAGGCAAATCGGGCCTTGAATAGTAGGCTGAGAAGTGCGTTCTGGCTATTAGGTACGACATATATATATATATATATATATATATATATATATATATATATATCGTACCTAGTAGCCAGAACGCACTTCTCAGCCTACTATGCAAGGCCCAATTTGCCTAATAAGCCAAATTTTCATGAATTAATTGGTTTTCGACTACCTAACCTACCTAACCTAACCTAACTTTTTCGGCTACCTAACCTAACCTAACCTATAAAGATAGGTTAGGTTAGGTTAGGTAGGGTTGGTTAGGTTCGGTCATATATCTACATTAATTTTAACTCCAATAAAAAAAATTGACCTCATACATAATGAAATGGGTAGCTTTATCATTTCATTAGAAAAAAAATTGAGAAAATATATTAATTCAGGAAAACTTGGCTTATTAGGCAATCGGGCCTTGCATAGTAGGCTGAGAAGTGCGTTCTGGCTACTAGGTACGACATATATATATATATGCGAACAAGCCTGAATGGTCCCCAGGACAATATGCAACTGAAAACTCACACCCCAGAAGTGACTCGAACCCATACTCCCAGAAGCAACACAACTGGTATGTACAAGACGCCTTAATCCACTTGACCATCACGACCGGACATAATGAGGTGATAGCCGAGGCTATTTGAACCACCCCACCGCCGGCACTCGGATAGTTATCTTGGGCATAGCATTTTACCAAATCACCTCATTCTTTGGGGCACACGTGAGGAACACAAATGCGAACAAGCCTGAATGGTCCCCAGGACAATATGCAACTGAAAACTCACACCCCAGAAGTGACTCGAACCCATACTCCCAGAAGCAACGCAACTGGTATGTACAAGACGCCTTAATCCACTTGACCATCACGACTGGACATAATGAGGTGATAGCCGAGGCTATTTGAACCACCCCACCGCCGGCACTCGGATAGTTATCTTGGGCATAGCATTTTACCAAATCACCTCATTCTTTGGGGCACACGTGAGGAACACAAATGCGAACAAGCCTGAATGGTCCCCAGGACAATATGCAACTGAAAACTCACACCCCAGAAGTGACTCGAACCCATACTCCCAGAACCACCCCACGGCGGTGGGGTGGTTCAAATAGCCTCGGCTATCACCTCATTATGTCCGGTCGTGATGGTCAAGTGGATTAAGGCGTCTTGTACATACCAGTTGCGTTGCTTCTGGGAGTATGGGTTCGAGTCACTTCTGGGGTGTGAGTTTTCAGTTGCATATTGTCCTGGGGACCATTCAGGCTTGTTCGCATTTGTGTTCCTCACGTGTGCCCCAAAGAATGAGGTGATTTGGTAAAATGCTATGCCCAAGATAACTATCCGAGTGCCGGCGGTGGGGTGGTTCAAATAGCCTCGGCTATCACCTCATTATGTCCGGTCGTGATGGTCAAGTGGATTAAGGCGTCTTGTACATACCAGTTGCGTTGCTTCTGGGAGTATGGGTTCGAGTCACTTCTGGGGTGTGAGTTTTCAGTTGCATATTGTCCTGGGGACCATTCAGGCTTGTTCGCATTTGTGTTCCTCACGTGTGCCCCAAAGAATGAGGTGATTTGGTAAAATGCTATGCCCAAGATAACTATCCGAGTGCCGGCGGTGGGGTGGTTCAAATAGCCTCGGCTATCACCTCATTATGTCCGGTCGTGATGGTCAAGTGGATTAAGGCGTCTTGTACATACCAGTTGCGTTGCTTCTGGGAGTATGGGTTCGAGTCATTTCTGGGGTGTGAGTTTTCAGTTGCATATTGTCCTGGGGACCATTCAGGCTTGTTCGCATTTGTGTTCCTCACGTGTGCCCCAAAGAATGAGGTGATTTGGTAAAATGCTATGCCCAAGATAACTATCCGAGTGCCGGCGGTGGGGTGGTTCAAATAGCCTCGGCTATCACCTCATTATGTCCGGTCGTGATGGTCAAGTGGATTAAGGCGTCTTGTACATACCAGTTGTGTTGCTTCTGGGAGTATGGGTTCGAGTCATTTCTGGGGTGTGAGTTTTCAGTTGCATATTGTCCTGGGGACCATTCAGGCTTGTTCGCATTTGTGTTCCTCACGTGTGCCCCAAAGAATGAGGTGATTTGGTAAAATGCTATGCCCAAGATAACTATCCGAGTGCCGGCGGTGGGGTGGTTCAAATAGCCTCGGCTATCACCTCATTATGTCCGGTCGTGATGGTCAAGTGGATTAAGGCGTCTTGTACATACCAGTTGCGTTGCTTCTGGGAGTATGGGTTCGAGTCACTTCTGGGGTGTGAGTTTTCAGTTGCATATTGTCCTGGGGACCATTCAGGCTTGTTCGCATTTGTGTTCCTCACGTGTGCCCCAAAGAATGAGGTGATTTGGTAAAATGCTATGCCCAAGATAACTATCCGAGTGCCGGCGGTGGGGTGGTTCAAATAGCCTCGGCTATCACCTCATTATGTCCGGTCGTGATGGTCAAGTGGATTAAGGCGTCTTGTACATACCAGTTGCGTTGCTTCTGGGAGTATGGGTTCGAGTCACTTCTGGGGTGTGAGTTTTCAGTATATATATATATATATATATATATATATATATATATATATATATATATATATATATATATATATATATATATATATATATATATATATATATATATATATATATATATATATATATATATATATATATATATATATATATATATATATATATATATATATATATATATATATATATATATATATATATATATATATATATATATATATATATATATATATATATATATATATATATATATATATATATATATATATATATATATATATATATATATATATATATTTATTTATTTATTTATTTAATCATAATTTTATTTTTTTTCATGTCTGGACACTTGTTGCATGGCACGAGACACAAAACCAGATAGGAACTCTACCAGGACATTTAATTTTACATTGGACTAGGTTAGAGTGGAAATCCACTGGAAAATATTGTATAATTTTTACCATGCAAAAAGTTATAGTAAATGAAAATGTTTGAAAATCTTTTGTCCAATTTGAAGATTTTGAAGCGTTCATGAAATGAAACTGCAAGACTTATGATCTAATTCTCCTTATTTTCTTATATTGCAGGTCAACAAATCGATGCCATCTAAAGAAATGATTCGGAAGAGAGTGAGGAGGGATAAAATGGGTGAAGAAGTATCCGAGTCGACAAGTAAAAAACCACGAATAGAAAAAGACGAAAAGAAAAGCAAACCTGAAGAAGTTGTAGAGAAGAACTCGGCTGTAGACATAACTCAGCGGTGGTTAGTGGAGAAGTTGTCTGCAGAAACAGTTGCCAACTTGGTTATGGTCACAATGGTTAGAGTTGTGTTTTTACTTTGGAGTCAGTGGGGATTCTTCATTGCATTAATTTAAAAACTACATTTTTAATTTACTTAGATTTTGGATTAGAAAATAGCTTTGGAGAACTGTACCAAGTTCAGTTTTTACAGTACACTATACAGTATTCAAAATGACAAATATTTAGGTTGGAAGACAGATATGGCTCATATTTAGCCACCACCACTTGTTGATAGACACAGGCTGAGAGATAGTGTTTGGTGCTGGAAGTGCCTCTGCAAAATGGATATACTGGTAATAAAGAGGTTTTGTCTCATGAAGTTGTACTTCTTGTACATCTACTGTATCTATACTATATTTCTTAGCCACTTATTTGCTTTAAAAGTTCTCATAACATCAAAGGATGGCTTCATTTAGATTTTTACGCAGATAAAACCTTTTCACGTTTCAGCTGAATCTACCCGAAGAGATGCCAGCAGTGTTCAGTGTTGGGTACAGCCCTATCACAGCAGCCGGGACACCAACACAGATACAGCACGTGGCCCGACTCATAGCATCTCAGCTGACCGCAGCAGGTGTTGGACCTGGGGTGGAACAAACCAAGGAAGATGAGGTATTATAGGAAGATGAGGTATTATTTGAATTTGTATCCCAGTCATGGGAAGCCTCTGGTCTCTGCACCAATTCTAGTCTTCTAGCTTGTGGCATGCTTTGACTCTAGCATGCATGGTGGTTAGCAGCTATTATGTAGGGATACAGTGTTAAGTCAGATTTAATTTTCAAATAAGTGTTATAATTTGTAATATGAGTCATATGCAACAAAAAATTTAATTCATTTTTAAATGACATATATTCTACACACAATTTTTTTTCTAACAGTTTGTACTATTTTCATCATTAATATTAACTATAGTTTTGGAGTAGTGATACTTTTTCATGTCATTTTCCAAGGCATGAAATCTGCTACATCTGCTACATCAGATCTGAAAAGCTTCTACAGTGGTACTGTACCTCCATTTACGAATTTAATCCATTCCCAGAGACGGGTCGTAACTTTTTCCCATAAGAAATACAGTAATGTAAATTGAATTAATCCGTTCCACACTCCCAAAAATATTAACTTCAAAATACATTTCATACATAATACACACATTTTGTACTATGTTATGTACTAGTTATACCTTACCGTCATTGAGGACTCAAAATAACAGAAGCTCTGAAAGAAAAGCAATATGCAAATGTTGTATACACAGACTTTGCAAAGGCATTTGATAAATGTGATCATAAAGTGATAGCACACAAAATGAGGTCAATGGGAATAACTGGTAAAGTAGGACTCTGGATACTCAATTTCCTGTCGAACAGAACACAAAGAGTAATAGTCAATCAAATAAAATTGAGTCCAAGCGCAGTTAAAAGCTCTGTATCTCAAAGTACAGTCCTTGCGCCACTGCTGTTCCTTATTCTCATATCAGATATAGACAAAAATACAAGTCACAGCTTCGTGTCATCCTTTGCAGATGACACAAAAATCAGCATGAAAATTGCCTCTGCTGAAGACATTGAAAAATTACAAGCAGATATCAACAAAGTTTTCGATTGGGCAGTAGAAAATAACATGATGTTTAACAGTGATAAATTCCAGGTACTCAGGTACGGCAAAAATGAGGATCTGAAACATAATACAGGGTACAAAACACATTCGAATCTTCCCATAGTAAGAACACAGCATGTCAAGGATTTGGGAATAATGATGTCCAACGATCTAACGTTTAGGGAGCATAACCAAGCAAATATTGCGTGAGCCAGAAAAATGATAGGATGGATTAGGAGAACTTTCAAATACAATGGAGCCTCGACTTATGATGCTAATCCGTTCCCAGAGATGGATCGTAAGTTGAAATATTGGAAGTCGAAGCGATTTTTCCCATAAAAAATAAAGGGATTTGAATTAATCCGTTCCCCCACCCTCCAAAATATTAACATAAAAATACATTTTATACTGAATACAATGTTTTTTTTCTAACTACAATACAGTACCAAAGTTACTCTTACCTTTATGGAGGGCTCTTGACGGCGTATGGAAGATGGTGATGAGGGAGGAGGAGGAGAGTTGTTACTGTTTGGAAGGGAAGTTCCCTTCCATTATCACATCAGGCAGTGATGTTTTCTCTAGGGTACTCTCTCTCTCTTAAGTTTTGCCTGAATACCACTAGGACCTGGTTGTGGTTCAGTGCTTGTTTGTCTCACTACAAATGTCAAGAGACATTTGTTTTTCCATTCGTTTTAACATTTGTCTGTAATGTTGCATCACTTTAGCACCCATAATGTCCTTTTTCTTAGCTAGTATGGTGGATATCGTTGACTGAGATTTGTTGTACTGCCTAGCCAGTTCACCTACCTGCACACCATCTTCATATTTACGAATGATCTCTTGTTTCTGCTCTATGGTCATTCTTACATGGGATCTCATATGTTGAGCCTTACCACTGACTTTCCTGGGACTCATGGTGTATTATATAATAATTACTTTAATGTTCAAAATGCAAAAAATCACTACAAAAGCGGAATTTCTTATAGGCGCGATCGTCACTAAGTGGGTAGCTGTATTAAACTGAGGCAGGTCGGACCACTTGACTTTTAAACACGCGCTCGGCCGACCTGAACGTGTACCAACAAGTATCGGATGTCGAGTCGCATTTTTCGATGAAATTTATATCGTAACTTGAAATTATCGTAAGTAGGGGCAATCGTATGTCGAGGTGCCACTGTACAGGGATCCCATCACAATGGTAGTACTCTTCAAGTCACTTGTGTTGTCCCATCTCCAGTACTGCTCAGTACTCACTTTCCCCTTCAGAGCAGGAGAGATTGCTGAAATAGAGGGACTACAGAGAACATATACGGCATGCATAGACGCGATAAAGCACCTAAATTATTGGGATCGTCTCAAAGCTCTCCAAATGTACTCACTAGACAGGAGACGAGAGATACCAAATAATATACACGGAAAATACTGGAGGGCCAGGTCCCAAATCCGCACAGTAAAATAACAACGTACTGAAGTGAACGATGTGGAAGAAAATGCAGAATAGAACCAGTGAAGAGTAGAGGTGCCATAGGCACAATCAGAGAACACTATAAACATCAGAGGTCTGCGGTTGTTCAATGTCCTACCAGTGACTATAAGAAATATTGCAGGAACAACTGTGGACATCTTCAAGAGAAAACTAGACTGTTTTATAAAAGAAGTTCCGGACCAACTGGGCTGTGGTGGGTATGTGGGCCTGTGGGCCGCTCCAAGCAACAGCCTGGTGGACCAAACTCTCACAAGTCAAGCCTGACCTCGAGCTGGGCTTGGGGAGTACAAGAACTCCCAGAACCCCATCAAGCAGGTATGACTTGTTGGCATTTGGAAGACAGTGAGGAGGGGGGGGGGGGGAAGGGGAGTCCCTGTCCATTATAATATCAGGTAGTGAGAATTTTTCTGGGGTACTCTCTCTCCTATGTTTTGCCTGAATATGACTAAGACCTGGTTGTGGCTCACTGCTCTGTTTTTCCACCACGTTTTAACATTTGTATGTAGTGAGGTATCACAGTGTCATTGAAACGGTTAAGGCAATGGCCTACTGCATCTTGATTTGGGCGAGTTGTTTCAACAAAACTTTGCATTTCTTCCTATACTGCACACCACTTCGTAATTGTTGAGGAATCCATGGCATGGTATACAGCTGAAAAACAATTAAATTCTTTACAAAGAATTCAAGCACGATTGTCACTAAGCGGGTGATCTTGTAAACTGAAGCGGGGTCGCCCGTGCCACCAGGAACCATCGCTCCGTCGACCCATATGTGTATCAACAAAGTCGCAAGTCGAGGCAAAGGTTATAAGTCTAGTCGAGTTTTCCGACGAAATTGGGGGTCATAACTCGAAAAATTTGTAGGTAAGAACATTCGTAAGTCAAGGTTCCACTGTACATACAGAACAGGAACCATGTCGGTTTAATCCAGTTCTATTGAACTTCAAGTTCACCTGCTTCTGGCTCTAATACACATTTCTGGGGTTGTTCTAAAAGAATAGGGGTTAGGTTAGACTTCCTGCCAGGCTTTTTCCCTCCAGGCTGAACTTGGTGCCCAGAACTTTAACAGGCTGACCAGGCTGATGCTCAAGAAAAAACTCCTGAGAATAAAGGTTTTTGTGTATCTCAGTGACTGGCTCATTTGGACTCTTAGTAATTACCTGTGTAGTTACAGGATGAGAGCTAAGTATAGTAACAGGATGAGAGTTAAGTGTAGTTATAGGATGAGAGCTAAGTGTAGTAACAGGATGAGAGCTAAGCTCGTGATGTCCCGTCTTCCCAGCACTCTTTGTCATATAACACTTTGAAACTACTAATAGTTTTGGCATCCAGAAAGTGCACAGACCAGCACGACCCTTCTGGGAAGGGTCGTACCAGGGCTCAGGATTTCATTTGTTGGGGTAGTCTGCTGGTGCCAGTTTCGAGGCCGCCCCCGCCTTCGTTTGGTCGGCGCAGTGTTCGCTCTGTGTGAGGCTCGGGTTCTCGTACGGGGCGTCGCCCCTTTCGTGGTTCGCCTCATTGACGGGACGATGGGGGGAGGCTTGCTCTGTTCACTCACACCTAATCCCACGATTTGTGAGCGTTTCGGGTCGTTTCGGTCGGCCTGCGGTGGCGTTGGATTGCCCCTCTTCCTTTGGGGGATTCGGGGCTGGTGGGGCAGGCCTCTTCCCCTGCGCTCTGTCAGGTCATCTTGGAGTGGGTTCACTTGGGCGTGGTCGAAATGACGGCGTCTCTCAAAGGGGTTTCCCGTCTATTCCCAGTTCCGAAACAGGACTGTGCGGACCTGTGGTTCATTCTGGACTTGTCCCATCTGAACCCCTGGGTTCATTGCCCCTCCTTCTGGATGACCACGCTGTCCCAGGTTCAGCTCCTGTTGGCGCCGGGCGCTTGGATGGTGTCCCTGGACCTCTGGGATGCTTATTGGCACGTCCCGATTCATCAGGGGTTCAGGGATTGGCTCTGGTTTGTTGTGGGGCGGCAGAGTTACCGCTTTCGTTGTCTCCCGTTCAGGTTGAACCTGGCTCCTTGCGTGTTCACACGCCCTTCTGGGTCGTGGTGACCGGTCTGGGTGTTCGGGTGTTGGCCTACCTCGACGACTGGCTGGTTGGGGCTCCTTGCCGGTCCGCTTGTCTACTAGCCAGGGATTTGGTTCTTTCCCAGGTTGCTGGGTTCGGGTTCTTGGTGAACTGGAGGAAGCCCCATCTGGTTTCCTCCCAGGTTCGGACCTGGCTGGGTCTTGTTTGGGATTTTCGGACCACTTCTTTGTCTCTTCCTCCGGAGTCTCTCCTTCGGCTGCGGTCTCGCATGTGCCTTTTTCTGGGGGGGCTCCCTGGTTACCCGGCGGTTGCTCAGTTGAGTTGCTCGAGCAATGGTAGACCACCATTGCCTGAACTTTGCAGTGGTGGTCTACCCGCCGGGTCAGGTTTGGCTTTGTTGGCTGTTCTGGTTCCTTCGGGGATGTCCCTTCCGCCTCTCTCACGATTGCTGGGTTCAGCCCCCGGGGGGGCCTTGCATCGGCTGCTGCGTCGCCGGCT